AGCATTTTGTAAATCTGACTTAAGGGGTTTTACCATTATGAACTTCTGCAAAGGCATTTTTACCTGCTAATGGTGTATTTTCGAATTTTACATGGCAATTTATTGCACACTTTGTTTCAGGTATAACTGAAGTCATGCATGGAAGCAAGCAGCATGGTGCGCGACGTGACCTGGTTTATTCAGACCTAAGAAGACTGAGATATCAATGCAAGTGTTCCAATGCTGCAGCATTTGTTTAACAACTCAGTTGTTCTTGCAAAAGGAACGTACTGTTAAGCATATAGAACAGTACATATGCAATCGAATTAAGCATAATGTTCGCTCGCCTTTCAGCGGAAGGAACGCTGACCACGACACGTTGTTTATTTTGTAAATTTCCCGGTTCTTCTTCGCCTTAAGCTGCTGATAATGCAAAGACATTTTAAACAGCAAAATTTCCATAAGTTACGTCTCTCGTTGTTTCGAATAATCCAATATAAACAGTTACATCATGGACACCATTTCCAATCTCTAAAAGAATTGTCCAAACGAGGTCTTTACATGCTTTGCGCTGTTTTCAAACTTGTTGGCAGTCAAGCAGGATTTAAACAATTTTTCATTCTCCATTTTGGCTATTTCAGTAAACCAAGGCAAGTGTCAGCGTCTGAATTTGTCTGAAAGTTTGTTTACTCTGCTTCACATCAACATCTGGTTCCTGTCTCCACTTCAGTTTTATATAAGCATTAAAATTACCTTCTCATCTTCTAAAATTAATTAATTTTTGTACTCGTTTTTACTAATATGTTGAATAAAACATGATAGTAATACTGAAAAAATGTAACAAAGTGAGCGCATTGGTTTTTTCTCAGCACTTAATATACACAGCATATTATTTAGTGATGTGAACAAAATTCGAATATACAAACTTGATGATTAAAGTTAGTCTGTATTTTTCTATCAGCTGTAATGTACGAACTCCTTTATCTTGCTTTAGAGTGCTTTTTATTTTTTAATCTTAATCCATGTTGCAGAGGTGCAAGCTTTATTGCATCTTGTAGCAACGACTAGGCAGTATCGTTGGAAAATAAATTTTTTCACAGCCTCGTAAATGTTTGGTTTGTATCGGCAGAAATTTTTAAATGCTGAACCTGTTTTGTTCCTCCGGGTAAAGGTTTGGGATATTCGAAGTTCTACATTTGGCCCACATAATGATGCAGCATAGAAATTACAGAGCCGTAATTCCAGGAAAAGCTGCGATATGCGTATTCTCAGCTTGTTTGAAACATTGAAGCTCTCATATGGCGTAAGTAGGTTATCAGCAGACTTTCTGAATTTGCGACTTGTTGCAGTATCAACCTGTTTAAGAAAAGAATGCTCACTAAACACTGTAGTGACAAAATAAATTGCCTAGCCGTGAATCAATTGTAATGCACGAACGTATCCTTCGAAGACATCGATTCCATAATAGTAGGCTGACGTCTGTCGAGGATTCTTAGTTCTTTCCTAACACAATTTTAGATCTGTTTGATCTACTGATTGATTTAATGGGTAGAAGATCCATCCTCAGTGTGCTGTCGCTTTTAGATCTTTGCACTCTGCCTAATAATGATTCTTTTACTTTTTGCTCTCTGCATTGTAGCGTATCATCCTTTCAGTTTACAGACTCTGCCTACTTGACGTATTTTCCTCTGAAAAACGGAAGTGATCGGTATACCTGGAAAGCAGTAATGGTGCTTTTTTATAATATTGTCTTTATGCACATTCGCTTCGTTTTGCAGGTATGAATGCCTGTACAAGCGTCGAAGCTCCGGTCGGAAAGTTACTCTCTAAATTTTCTTCGTTCATCGATACGTACAACAACTCCCTTGATGGTCTGCTATCGCAGATTTCAACTCTTCGACGGGAATTGCTTACAGGTGCGTATTTTGGCTCTCACTGTTTTGTAAATTTTTAAGTCTACTTGCGAGCCAGTTTTCTGTATGGATTTAGTCACTGACAATCATCAAAAATAATGTACAATTATGCAGTGCCACTAGTGTCATAAAGTACTACCCGACCTAACTCAAGGTTTTATTGTTCATTCACCTTTGCGTCATTCCTAATTCAGAATGGTTTAAGCAGTTCATGCTGAATTTGCATGACATTTCAGCACCTGTACAAAATGGATCTCACGTCATTTTTTAAGCTGGAGCAGTATTTTTCTGCCATCGTTGATTTTTCAACTGCCGGTCTTCTAGCGTGGCAGATATGCAAATAAATACCATTGATGTATGTCCTGTTTAAATTAGAGACCTTAGGCAACTTCTGAACGGCAGCTGGGGGCTTAGCAGCACTGGAAGATGACAAAAGTGCCAGTCAGCAGCGTAGGTGGTAGATAGCGCGATGCCGTTATGCCACGTCAGATAGCGTTACGCGGGGATGATACCCACGGTGTGACCTTTTCTGATTTCACGCTGTCTAACTCCTATGTTCTTAACGGGTATCGATCCGTCGTCTGATCGTCCACTGTTCGCTGTCTGCCTTGGATTATTCTTCTTTTCATCGAATCCTTTTAAACGATTAAAAAGAGAAGGAGACTAGATCAGCCATTAAATTTCAGCATCATTCGATTAAATTAATCGTTTTTCTTCAAGTGCCTTTGTTATCTGCCGATAGTCGTATTTTTAAATCTCATACATGAAGACATGAACGAACAAAATATGCGGTTCGACGCTTGATTCATCGTCACTTTTATTCTAGAGGCAGAAGGCGACAGCGAAATCACCGTGGCAGCGGTGCTAATTTGGGAGCACTGCCTGAGGAAGGTCCGGGAGGTGTTCGGTCGTCTGAGCATGGAACACCGCGAGATGCACGGATGTGTCTCGAAATGCGGAAGAGAAATCGATCACGTACGCGTGCTGTATTTTCCTTTTACTTGGTCGAAGCGTTTCTGTTACGACTTATTCTCTTCAGCATTTCGTTGACGACTTCAGCAGCGTATGCCAAAAGAACTGCGACTACGAATGTGATCCGTCGTTGAGATGGCAGGTCGACACATTGATCGCAAAACATTTCTTGACCGTTGGCCGAATAGAGATATCAGAGCTGTTGTGTAAAGTAGGCTTCAGTTGTACTGCGCCGCGAAATTTTTATGATCTCTTGCTTGTTTGCAGGAGTCGCACGTACTAATGAACGAGTCTAACAAATTCTTGTTTTTCGAAATCAATTCGATGCTTGAAGCTCTTAGCCAAAGAAACGTGAGACCCGCATTAAAGTATGACCTAAAACCTTTTACCTGCTTTTCTGTACCTTTTCAGATTTTAATTACACTGAAACTTCATTATAATTCGTCTCACTTGGTCATGAATTCGGGTACACCGCAGCCGTAGTCATGTCCCCGAAAATGGTTTCACGTGTTTTCTCATTAAACAACTGTACTGCAAGTTTTGGCGCGATGCTCCCAGCCGCGGCGCTGTCATTTACGATGGCGACTTTGCAGCGGCTCTGGTAGCCCAGTCAGAGAAGGGAGACGCCCATGATACTGTACGTATTGTCTCAGGGCCATATTAATCACTCGACAAAACTAACAGTTGTGTAGATCCCTAAAATATCAATTTAAATAAGGTGCTGCTCATTTAAATTAGAATTACGATAACAATGTTACAGTATTTTACTATCAGTCAGTAAGTTTCGATA